CACCCCTGGGAATAGAAACCCCCCCTCAAAATCATGAGACTCCCCCTAAGTGAACAGGGACCCCTCCATAGATCAAAGACCCCCCCCATGACCCCTCCCACGACCTGGGACCCCCCCCCACACAGCACTGAGACCCCAACCCCAATATTCCCACACACCCAGGGATCCCCAAAAACCTCCCCCCAACGGACCAGTTTGGTCACTGGGAGAACCAAGGAATAGAAATATTGGGGTTACTGGTGGTACTGGGGGGTTACTGGTGCGACTCTGGGGTTACTGGTGGTACTGGGGGGGTCGGGGGGGGGCTCACCTGGGGGAAGACGGAGGCTTGCGAGGTCTCGGTGGCCGCGGGGACGGGGGTGGCAGGTGAGACCACCTCCACTTTACGCTTCTGTGGGGACAGCAGCACCCAGTTCCTCCCAGTTCCTCCCAGTTCCTCCCAGTACAGCCCAGCCCTGGGACCAACGAGTGATGATTTGGGGCTGCTGCCTTTCCCCCTCCCCTCTCCCCCCCCCCCCCCCCCCCCCCCCCCCCCCCCCCCCCCCCCCCCCAACCATTGTCCCCTCCCAGGGTCGTCCCTGTTGTCCTCAGTGTCCCTCCCAGTGCTCCCAGTGCCACCCCCTGGAGCTCCCAGTGTCACCCCGGTGTCATCCCAGTGCTCCCAGTATGGCTCCAGCCAAGCCCTGGGGAGAAGTTGGGGGGGGGGGGGGACACGACACTCAGCTGTGGGGACAGGGAACCACTGGGGACAGTGGTGGGGACCTGTTGGGGTCAACAGTGGGGATCCATGGGGACAATGATGGGGAGCCACTGGGGACAACGCTGGGGACAGAGACAGGGACCCATAGGGAACAGCATTAGGAACCAAATGGGGACAATGATGGGGACCCCATAGGGACAACAACAGAGACCCAATGGGGTCAGCAATAGGAACAAGGATGGGGACCCAGGGAGGGATAACAATGGAGACCCCACTGGGGACAACATTAGGGACATTGGGGACATAGGGCACAATGAAGAGGGCACATGGGTGACAAAGAAATGGAAACAGTGATGAGGACAGCAATGGGAACCCAGGGGGACAACATTGGGGACGCATTGGGGACAGTGATGTGCAGCCATTAGGCACAATGCTAGGGACCTGTTGGGGACAACAATGAGGACCCATGGGTGACAATGAAGGACACCCAATTGAGACAGAAATGGGGGACAGCAATGGAGACCCACTGGGGACAATGTTGGGGACCCACTGGGGACAGAAATGGGGACCTGTTGGCGTCAATTATGGGGACCCACTGGGGACAGCAATGGGGACCCAGTGGGGGACAATGATGGAGACCCACTGGGGACAAAGTTGGGGACTTGTTGGGGTCAACAATGGGGACCCAATGGAGACAGCAATGGGGACCCACTGGGGACAATGATGGGGACCAAATGGGGAATGATGACAGGGACCCACTGGGGACGAGGTTGGGGACCTGTTGGGGACAAGGCTGGGGACAACAACGGAGACCCACTGGGGACAACACTGGGGACCCGTTGGGGACAACGATGGGGATCCATTGGGGGACAATGATGGAAAACCCCCTGGGGACAGCGATGGGGACCCGTTGGGGACAGCGATGGGGACTCATTAGGGACAACGATGGGCACAATGATGGGGACCCATTGGGGACAAGGTTGGGGACAGTGATGGGGAGCTGTTGGGGATGAGATTGGGGACAACAACGGAGACCCACTGGGGACAACACTGGGACCCGTTGGGGACAACGATGGGGATCCATTGGGGGACAATGATGGAAACCCACTGGGGACAATGGTGGGGACAACAACGGGGACCTGTTGGGGACACCGGGGCCGGGGTTACCGTGGGACGCTGCGGGGCCGGGGGGGGCTCGGCCGCGCTCTCCTGGGGCAGATGGAAGCGGAGGGTGAGGGGCAGCGACCCCGGCCCCAACCCTGCTGGCCCCGGTGGCCCCGGTGGCCCCGGTGGCCCTGGCAGGCTCTTCCCGCTGGCGGGGGCCAGCGCCAGCTCCAGACTCTTCCTCTGCGCCGGGAGGAAGAGGAGGCATTTAGGGGGGGGGGGGGGGGGGGGGACAATGGGGACGGTATGGGTGAGGGTATTTCCCCGGTGGCGTTGTCCCCAAAGGGTCCCGGTGTCCCCTGGTGAGTCCCCACCCCCCAAATGGCAAAGGGGGATTTTGGGGTTGTCCCCGATGGTTCCGTGAGGGATGATTTGTCCCCTGGGTTTGGGGACAGTTCCCCGTGGCTCTGGGGGGTGTCCCCAGGAGCTCCCGGTGTCCCCGCTGCCCCCCGGGGGGGGTCCCCAGTGGGTCTCAGTGTCCCCAAGGGGTGTGGGGACGCGTCCCAACTCAGCTGATGTCCCCGCAGTGGCTCCGGGTGTCACTTCTGGGAGGGGTGGGGGGCTGTCCCCCGTCCCCACTTTGTCACCAGAGTGTCCCCTGTCCCCTCTGCCCCAATGCGGGGCTGTCCCTTGTCCCCAGAGCATCCCCTCTGTCCTCCTTCAGGACTGTCCGTTTGTCCCCAAGGCGTCCCCTGTCCCCTCTGTCCCCACTTTGGGGCTGTGCTTTGTTCCCAGTGTCCTCCCTGTCCCCATTTTGGGGCTGTCCTTTGTCCCCAGCGTCCCCTCTGTCCCCTCTCCAGGGCTGTCTCTTGTCCCCAGGTGCTCCCTGTCCCCGTGGCCGCCCCTGAAGTTGTCCCCACAGGGTCCCCTGTCCCTGCTGTCCCTGCTGTGGGTGCTTCTAGTCCCCATGATGCCTTCTAAACACATCTCCTGTCCCTGTAGCCACCTTTTGTCCCTTGAATGTCACCTCAACCTGTCCCCAGAACATCCCCTATCGCTACGACCGCCCTTCATCCCCTAAATTCGTCCCCTAAACTCGTCCCCAAGCTGTCCCCTACTCCTATAACCATGCCTCATCCTCTAAAGCCACCCCCAATGCATCCGCTCCCCCTTTCACCCCTCCCTTCCCCCCCCCCAAAACCCACCCCCTCCCCTGGCCGCTTCCCCCACAAGACCCCCACCTGTCCCCCCCCCCACTGACACTCTGCTGTCCCCCCTTGTCCCCTCACCGGGTCACGTTCTGGTGAGTCGGGCCGGGATCCAGGCAGGCCGTTCTTGGTGGGGGTCTTGGCTTCTTTGCGAGGTCCCTGCACCCGCTGCAGGTCCAGGCGTTCGGGGGTCACCCATTCGTCCAGACGTTTGTTAACTGGGGGGGTTGGGGGGGGTGGGGTGACACAGGGGGGGAGAGGTGACATCAATATGGATGTCCTACCCCAACCCCCCACCCCTCCACGCTGCCCCC